CGGAATCAAGAGAACAGAGATTCTAACAATGGTTTATTGTCTCAATGCAGGGCCAGCAGCAATGAGGAGAATAAACTTGTCATGGAAGGCATGTCAACATTAAGGTCTTAAAAGAAGATGACTGAGCAGAGCAAAGCTAGGAAGCAGCAGGCCATAATCATGACCCTGTCAATAGGCCAGTAGGAGTGACAGAGAGGAGGATGGGAAGGGAAATCTGGTGCTCAAGTCCCTGAGGTCGATGGGAGACTGTACCAAAAACTGTGAGGTGGCAGTGATGAGGATGGCGATGATGTGCATGAGATGCTGGGCTGGGCTTCTAAAGAGCTGGGGAAAGAGACCTGGAGAGAGGAGGGTATGAGTTGGGTAAAGATGAAGGGGAGAAACTGTAATGGGGTTGGGACTACAGGTAAGGAAAGCTGGATACTCATAGGTCACCCTGGGGTGAGGAGTAAGATTTCACCCCAGGGAAGAATGCAGAACTTGACATCCTAATGTGGTGGGAAGAACCTCAAAACATTTTTCTTTACACAGTAGTCTGGCATTTTGGATTCTCTGGGGCCTCAATTAAAAAGTACAGAAGGGAAATACTACTATCTTGAGTGTATTAAAGTCCCTTTTGTGAAATAAAAGGGGGAGTGGTTAGTATCAAATCCATAAGAAAATGCATTATTAACATTTAAATTTATTTCAAAGATAATGGTTACTTGCCCTTCTTTTTGTGTTATTTTATTCTTTAGATATTCAATTTTCTAAAGGATTGGACTGAAGAAAATCAAATGTATGCTGTTATCAAATTCATCTTCTACATAGTTCAATTATTGGACATTCTATTTCTTATCTTCTGAGTTTTAATTATAAGATTTAGTGTAACACCCATGTGATATCTATAGCCAATCATATGAATGGAGGGTACTTCAGGCAATAATATGATTTTTGGAAGGGATGTATGATATGATTTATTAAAGAGGTTCTTTTCATATTGTGTTTCAAACAGCAGCAACTATTTAACTCAAGCCCAGAATTTAAATATTCTATTATACTCTTTTGAGCCATCAGGGACTTTTGCTCTTTTCATTCATAACAAGGTTATGCTAATCTTGTCTATTTTCTTTTACATGTTCAGTTCCAAGCAAGGCCAACAATAATTAATACAAATTAAGAATGCTGGCATGGAAAGCTGATCCTTATCAATTTGTCACACTGTAAATGTGCTGCACAGACTCAGAATAGATTAACTTCAAAGTCCAGTAAAATGGTCTTGAAAGAGGCCAAATATATTTGGTTAACACTCAGTAGACTCAGTGAAGTCTACTGCTATGAACAGGTCGAAAGCTCTGTCATATAATTCCAAGAATGCAAATGAAATTTGTCTTAGTGTCATAAGATTTCTGAGATGCTGTAAAAGCATGACATCTTATTTAGAACTTCTGGCCTGGAAAAGACTCAGGTTTCTCTCGAAGTCAAGGTCATTAATTAAGGTCTGGCTGTCCAATATAGTAGCCACTAACTACATCTGGCTATTGATTCCTTGAGATATGAATAGCCTGAGATGTCCTGTAAAATATACACTGGATTTCAAAGATTAATTATATAAAAGAAAGTATACCATCTCATTAATATTTTTAAATGTTCAATTTCAATTTATATTTAAGATTAATTACATGTTAAAATGATAATAGTTTAGATACATTGGGGTTCGATAAAATATATTATTAAGATTAATTTCACCTTGTTAGGTTTTGAAATATTGCCACTTGAAAATTTTAAGTTATAAATTCTGACTCATTTTAGTTTGGCAGTGCTGCTGTGGGCTGTAGCCCAATTTTGAGGTGAACCACAAGGGGGCAGTCGAGGGTGGTGATGAGGGGCAAGGATACTGGGTCAGACAAAGCTAGGTTCAATTCCCAGGTCTTCTATTTCCCCCCTAAGAAACAAATCTAAACTGTTCATATCTAAACAGATAACTTGGGTTCTTAAAATGACCATTAAGTTCTATATTACAAAAAGGGTACAATTTAAAAAGTTACCTATATAATGAGAAATAAATAAAATTGTAAAATGAATCAATCAAACCCAATTTATAATTTTCTTTTATCCTCTTTTTGCCTTTGACTCATGGCTACTTAGCAGAAAAATACTAAGGAAAGCAAAAGTAAAACTTGGAGTTATCTACATGTGGATTAACTCTGCTGTTTTCTGAGCCACCTCTCTCTGCTACTGAGGGATATAGTGTAAACACCCTTTACTGTTTGCTTAAGAAAAACAGGAAGGACCTTCCTCTTTTATACCATTAAATAGCTAAATATTAAGAATTTTGGGATAGAAGAGCTATCTGAGCAGCATGAGTAATGGGATATGAACATGATAAAGTCCAAGGGCAGAAATTCAATCCTGGGTCTGCAACAGCCTAGGCCAAGGTTAGAAGAAATCTCCAAACCTTGGTTTTCTCATCTGTAAAATGGGGATGAGGATAATAATACCTCTCACAATAGACTGTATGCAGATTAAATTAAATAATGGATATAAAAACACATCTGTAAACCGGAAAGTATTATATAAATGTTAGCTATTATGATAATTTTATTCTACTGGAAACTAAGAATAATATACACATAAATGGCCACCTTGCTCTCTGGTATAATGTGAAAGAGCAGAAGGTAAATGAGGGTGGCTTTGTTCAGACACTTAACCCCTTAGACCCTCCTTCCCTCTTCTTCCACATCTACTTTAATCACTGAGAGGGCCCCATAAAAGAGCACTTAGAAAACTACAGTTCTATACAAATGTTCTATACAAATTGTTGGTTTGGATAATCACCAAGAGTTGATTTTACTGAAAGAGAAACAATCCTGTTAGGTATCCCTCTCACTGAGAAAAGCAGTCATTACCATGCTCCAAAAAATATGTCCTTGTACTTTTAACTCACATATACTAATTCAAAATAATAGTCAGTGGCACTCCTATGGGAATTGAAAATAGAAGGTTAGAGTGTATATCTCTTGTTCAGGTCTTGACAGGATGAAATTTAAAAGAATCTCTGTCTTCTTTTTCAAGTACAGGCACATTCAACACAATATGATAATCATAACCCCAGGATATCACTCCTAACAGGGACCCTCATTTCAAAGACAGGCTTTTAAAGCTGGCTTTTTGGGGAAAACACTCAACTATGTGATTTTTGAACTCAATGTTATATAATCCATGTAACCCAAAAGACACTGACAGGCTTGTACCCAGTCTGAAGTTATTTGGGCCCTAAGTAAAGATACATACAGATGTAACATGACATTAAAAATGAGTCCTTAGAACTTCACATAAAAATAAGAGCTCATAAAAATAGTAAAGTACAACACCCTATCAACCTGTAACTTGTTATCTACAATAATTAGAACTCATTTCTCCCAGAACATTTGATTTGTTCTTGTTTCTGAAGGGAGCTTGTTAGTACTAATATCTATGTGTACATATAACATTCAAGGAGTAAACAGGAAAGTGAAGAAGGTGCATCATAAAAGTTACTGAGGCAATGAAAACAATCCTGTTAGGGAGAGGATAGAGGAGCAAAACACACCATTAGCCTCTCTAAAGTTCAGAGGCATGGAAGCCAATTCAGAAAGGATACAGATTGTCAGCATCCTAAGAAGTACAGATAAACACAGCACTACAGTCTGATTTCAACCATTTTTACCTTTTAATTTCCATTTCAACCTTTTTTTTTTTAAGTTTAGAAGTTAAATTCCAGAACCACCACCATTTTCACGATCATTGCCAGTACCATCACCAACATACTTAGCCTGCCTATTAATAACAATACATGAGGCAAAAGTCCCCCTTGGTGTGCTAGTCTCTGGTGATACTAATTGCACGATTAACCTTTTTATAGGGCAGTGAGGGGAAAGCCAACACCAGTGATTATGCCTGGGAGACCTTCCTAGGAGCAAGAGTTACTCTAATCATTACTAATTCCAGGTATGCCTCACTGTGTTTCTTACCAAGAGTACAAAGTGGGCGCAAGTTGTAGTTAAACCATTTAGTTACACCTTTAGGAGAGACTGCTTTCCCTAGACCAGCACTTTGCCAAAAGTATATTCATTAAATATGTTGAAAATGCCTTACCAAAAAAAAGAGTGGCTTGGAAAATGCTGTATTCCATAGTCCCTGTTTGAGGGTTCACAGGGCGTTTAGCATATTAGAAATTTTTGCAATAAAGGAATTATTTTTTTTAAAGAACATTTTACTCTTTATTTTTTTGTTGTTGTTGCTTTTAATCCTCACCTGAGGATATTTTTTCCATTGAGTCTTAGAGAGAGTGGAAGGTAGGGGGAGAGAGAGAAACATCGATGTGAGAGAAACACATATATTGGTTGCCTCCTGCTTACACCCTGCCATGCAGGACCAGGAATTGAGCCTGCAACTGAGGTATGTGGCCTTGACCAGAACTTAACCGGGACCCTTCAGTCCTTGGGCTGACAGTCTATCCATTGAGCCAAACTAGTTAAGGTAAAAAGGAACTATCTTTCCTTCCTTCCT